AGACTAAGCACTAAGTCGACAAACGGAGCCCGCAAGCTGAGATCTAAATACATTCAACGAGATGGGGCCGATCAGAACATATCAGTAGAAAAGGGAGTAAAGGAAACAGAGAGGAAATTGTGGGAAAAGAGAATACAGGGGGAGTCAGCTTTAACAATATACAGGGCACAAAAACAAGACATAAAGAAGGAACAGTTGTATGATAATTCATTGGGGAGCTCGTTGCTGTTTGAAGCTAGAACGTGGGTGCTAAGAACGAAACCATATAGGGCTAAATTTCAGGAACTAAATTTCAGGTCACGTGACTCTCGGGCGGTCACGTGACTATGGGTGTCACGTGACCTCGGGGGTCACGTGACCCTGGGGGAGGGGTCACGTGATCTCTGGGGGTCACGTGACCTTAAGGTGACCTTGGGGGCCACGTGACCTTGGGATGACCTTGGGGGCCGCGTGGCCTTGGGGTGACCTTGGTTACGCCGACGGCGACGGCGACGCCGACGCCGCTCAAGCCGGGAACGGGCCCCTAAGAGCTGCGCTCTAAAAAAGTGAAAGCCGTTTACAACTCCCCGTAACGCCAAATTAGAGCGCAGCTCTTGAGGAGGAGGAGGGAAGGGTACTGAGGTGAACTATATCCTTCCTCCTCACGTCCTCCTCCTGTCTGCGACTCCTCCCTCCGAGCGGCGTCGCCGTGGCCTCACGAGGGTCGCGTGACCTTACGGAGGTCATGTGACGTCACCGGGGTCACGCGACTTCACGAGGTCACGTGACCCCTATGAGGTCACGTGACGATGACATTGACGTCATCAGTGGCGTCACCAGTGACGTCACTGTTGACGTCATTATCACTAGTGACGTCATCAGTAATATCATCAGTGACGATGACGATGACGATGCGAATGCTGATGACGTCATCAGTGACGTCACTGATGACGTCATCTTGGCTAGGACGATAACGATGCAGATGCCGATAACGTCACTGGATGGATGGATGGATGGATGGATGTTACTGGCCCTTTGTAGAGGGTGGTAGCTTGCGCCACCTAGCCTAAGTCTAAGAAAGACAAACATTTGATTTGATTTCTCGCGCCCTTCTAAGCCAATTTCCTACCCCCTAACTATCACCAGGTAGTGTGGGATATCACCAGGATGACCTTTGGGGGATCGGGCGAAAAAACTAAAAACATCACCCCCCGCCTCTTCCCCCCGGCGAGGGAGTCGCCAATTTTCCTCTGGTCAGACCTTGTCGGCGTTACCCCCGCACCGGACCCACTGGAAGACAAGGTTGAGACTTTGGGCCGGAGCCACGCGGAAGGGAGTCCCAATTTTCCTCTGTCCCGCCTGTCCCCAGCTGTGCTAGTTAGTTCTGCATCATTCAATTTTCCCTAGATAATTTCCACCCATCTTCTAATCGCCTCTTCGTGACTGTAATCCTCTTCTCCGTCCCTCCATCGTCGCCAGCAAACCCCAGGGCCCCTGCCAGATCTGTTACCCCTTCAGGGAGTGCAGCACGAAGCCCCGTGCACTTTAATACCAAGTGCTCAAGTGTCTCACTCTCATTATGGCAAGGAGCACATAATGTGTCTATCTCCTGAAATTTAGCCCTATACGTCCTCGTCCTTAAAGCCCCCGTTCTCGCCTCGAACAGCAAAGAACTTCCTATTGAATTGTGATACACATTTTCCTTTCTTATGTCCTGCTTTCTTGACCTGTACACTGTTAGAGCTGATTTATCCTGCATTCTTTCTTCCCACATTTTCCTTTCTACCTCTTTCACCCCTTTTTTCACTGAAGTAGTCTGTTCAGCCCCATCACCAGTGTTTAGGTATTTAAATGTAAGCTTTCGGGTTCGATTTGTCCATTTTGTGTTTAAACTTTTCATGTATAAATATTTGAATACCTTCCGTGCCCACCGCGTATCATCCATTTCGGTCAACCTTTGTTCAAATTTCAACTTACTAACTGCCTCCCTGCTCTCAAAAGACGACCATCCCATGTCCCCCTGTACTCCCTCATTTGGTGTTTTTCCATGTGCTCCCAGTGCCAGCCTGTTTACGCTTCTTTGTCGAATTTCTAATCCTGATTGAACCTCTGATTTCATGCACAGCACTGCATTGCCAAAAGACAGCCCTGGCACCATCACTCCTTTCCATATACCTCTGACCACTTCATACCTATTATAGTTCCATAGTGCCTTGAGCTTCATAATTGATGAATTTCCTTTCCCTTTTCTAATTATATTCTCCACATGTTCCTCTAGATATTTTGTTCCCTCATTGAGCCAGACTCCCAGATATTTGTATTTTCCTACTTGGTCTATTTCAATGTCTTGTATCCTCGGGGGTTCCCTCTTTTTGTCGTTAAACACCATTACCCCAGACTTTTCTCTACTAAAACTCATGCCCAATGTGTCCCCTTCCTCTCCACATATTCCAGCTAGTTCCTGTAACGTATCCCGGTTATCTGCCATAAGTACTATGTCATGGGCATACATCAGTCCTGGTATTACCTGTACTACATTTCTCAGTCCTTCCATATAACTCACATCAAAACCTAAGTTGCTCTGCTCTAATTTCTTTTCCATTTCCAAATATATCATGAAAAGCAGAGGTGACAGTGGACAGCCCTGCCTGAGCCCTCTTTTTATCGCTGCGGGTTGTGTAGTTTCTGCCTCCCATGCTATAATTACCTTATTGTCTGTATACACTTGCTGAAGAAACCCAACCAAATATGCATCTAAGTTATATTCCCTCAGCTGACTCCAGAGTTTTTCCTAGCTCACATTATCGTACGCTCCCTTGATGTCCATATAAGCCAACCACAAAGGAGTCTGGTTCTTCATTGCTATTTCTATACATTGTGTGGTGGCGAATAAGTTATCTTCCAGTCTTCTATCTCTTTGGAATCCATTTTGGAGCTCACCCAGCATTTGATTTTCTTCTACCCATTCCTCCATTCTCCGCTTTACTATCTGTATAACTAATCTGTATAGAACTGAAGTTACCGTTATTGGGCGATACGACTTAATGTTGTCTTTGTTTCCTCGGCCTTTATATATTAGTCTCATTTTACTCAGTTTCCAATCCCTAGGCACCTCTCCTCCCATAATTATTTGATTTCTTGCATGTCGTAACTTCAATTTGCTTGTTTTTCCTAGTGTCCCTATGAGTTCCATGGGTATGTCGTCTGGGCCTGTCGCTGTACCTGCTGGAACCTTACTTTCTGCCTTATCCCATTCCCTTGCGGTCGTCTCCATTGTTACATAATTCTGCTCCTCCTCTATGCTGCTGCTGTCAGTGCTATCCACCGTCCCCCTCTGCTCAAGCTGGGAGAAAGCCCCTTCGATTGTCTGCCTAATATATTCCCGCGCCTCTTCCCCCTCCACTCTTCTCCCTTCCTGTGTGGTTAGCACATGTTGGAAACTATCTGTCTTTCTCCCTTGCGCCTTAATATGTTCCCAAAACCTTTTCGCTGCATTCCTATCTTTTTTATTTATTTCCATCATCCACTGCACTCCTGCACTCCTAATTTTGGTATGTATTAAAGCTGATGCCTCCCTTTTTCGCTCTTGGAAGTTTTCCCACTTTGATTCTACCTCCGTTGGCAAGGCTCCCCTTTTATTTGCCCACCTATGCTCCCTAGATGCCTCTTGGCGCTGCAATATGGCTACTTTGACCTTCTTATCCCACCAGCTTTTTGGTTTGTGTCTTTGTTTTTGCTGTCCTCTTTGTTTAATTCGATGCTTCTCTAATTCTCTTTTAAAGATTCCTATTAGATCCTCATATGCCCATTCCCTTTCTGGTTGTTTCGATACTATGTTCTCAATGCTTTTCGATACTTTTTCTATTTGAGCTTCAATCAGTTTAGGTTTACCCGCTCGTTCCTGGGCTTGCTGCTCTGGTTTAAATGCACCAAATTGAATCTTAATTCGTTTGTGGTCACTCCCTAACCTTTTGTTCCTTCCTCATCTATTTCCATACTTCCTAACCTGGCATACAGTTTGTGGGACATGAGGCAGTAGTCTATAGTTGAGTGCGAGTCGTTTCGTTCCCACGTTATTTTGCCGTCGCATTTTACTTGAGTATTCACTAACACTAGGTCAAGGGCATCACAGAAATCTTCTAGCAACTTTCCGGTTGTATCTGTGAGTCCATCACTCTTCTAAATTGGCATTCATGTCTCCTATCATAATTCCTCTCCTGAGATATCGTCATCAGTGACGATGACGATGCGGATGACGTCATCAGTGACGTCCCTAATGACGTCATCAGTGACGATGGCGATGCCGATGACATCACTGATGACGTCATCAGTGACGTCACGCGTCCCATAATGCACCGCGCGGTTACGCCGAAGGCGACGCCGACGCCGCTCAAGCCGGAAACGGGCGCCTAAGAGCTGCGCTCAAAAAGAAGCAATAGAAACGCTTTAAAAAAAAAGGGGGGGGGGGGGTTGTGTTAGAACGAAATTCATATGAACTTCAACATAGAAGGGATGACGAAGTGGCGCAAGCTGCCACCCGTTACAAAGGGTATAGCCATTACCATCCATCCATCCATCCGACGCTCTAACGGCGGCGCTCGCAGCGTCTCCACTTTTGGACTAGCGAGCGTGTTCGAAAGCATAGTATAGAGAAGTGGGTAATCCAATCTAACAAGCTGGTCCTTGTAGGTCGCCTTTGATTCTCAAAATCGGGGGTGTTTGAAGATAGACGATCTTGATCTTCTATCACCGTCATTAGTGAGGAGAAATTGGAGCTATTAATACTGCCACTAGATGACTCTGACGTTTGAGAAGGGTCAATTGCCGGTGTTGATGTTTGTCTCGTGCAAAAGCTCCCTTTTACGGCCGAATGAATGAAACTTCCTGTGTACGTCATTCGACTTTGTATTTTTATTTTCTCGTATTTTGCGGAATGTTTTGTAAAGGGCGCTGACCTTGTTCACCTTTAAAAGGTGTTTCTGACGAAGTCATTTTTAGACTTTAACTATAATATTTTCTCGCCTGTACGCCCGTTTTTACACGGAAAATGTATTCGGCTACACTCATTATTTTCAGCGTTGCCACTGCTCATGCCGGTGATGTATCGATCCTATTTATGTAGATGTTTCTGCATGACTTTTTTCTAAGTTACGAAAAACCAAATTTTTATTTCTCTCAGGATAAATCCTTCGAGCTTTTTGGCAAGATAAACAGTTATCGTGGAAATTCCGAGCACGATATTGCAGACGAGATATAATTTGCATTACGGCATGCACCACATTTCCAAAAGGTGTAGGGTTTAAATTGGCTTGGGTAGACTTACTGCACTGATTTTATTCATAGATTTTTTTATAGTCGCTGACAAATAAGACGCGCACGTTGTGTCGTAATATTATAATCTTGATTCTTACTTCTTGATTGCCTCTTCCGTGTTCTTACTGGATGAGAAGAAATAAAGAGATGCTCGCCAGTCAGCACGCCCTTCACTTCTTAAGTTGTGAGTGATTATAGAAGTGGAATTTAATAATTATATGCCGCTATATCTTCCGATCACAGGACGGGTTGATTCGGACACTTTAGTACGTTGGTATTCTACTATATCCAAATAATGTGTTCAAAGACACAAAAAAAGTAAAATTACGACTAGGTTAACAGAAGCCAAGCGATTATTTGTTTTTATATCTGTGACAGAAGTTGCAAACGAAATTTTAGTACTCTTAACCACATATGGTGATTATTTGTTTTATAGATTTGTCAAAGTCCCTTAGCTTATGCAGCATCCTTACGTGCTGCTGGCTAAAAAACAATGGTGCCTGGAACACGTCTCCAACTGGTGTGTTTACCGCGTTCTGAAAAATTTTCCTTCGATTTCCGCAATTGGGCGTCATATGAGTTTCATGCCGTCAGCCAAGATCCTCCCGTCGTCGCAGCAGCGGTGGTACGAGCAAAAAATACGAGCGTTCCATCGTATTTTTGGCCGGCAATTATAGCACCAACCGCCAGGGTCGCGACAGCCAAGAGCAGGACACTTCGGCTCCTGTAAGATCGTTTGTTGCTACTTCGGTATTCTTTTAAGATATGGGTGCCATAGGACCCTGAATACAGCAGTAGGAGACGAGTTCTATAGACATTGCACTCCATACTTCAGTCAGCCAAAGGGCGTCAAAAACAGATAGAAAGCGAAACCGGGGTCATCATACCGGAAGCAGATGTTTTCTTATTCAACGGCTGACGTACGTCAGGTCTACGTAAAGATCAAGCACTTGGTTTCTCCAATTACACCTACAAATTATGAGAGGGTGCTAATCTGGTTTATTAATCCGGAACGATAATTGCATTGTACGTGCACGGAATGCACAAACATGTAATTTTTTTTTTACGATTTTCAAACTGCCAGAAACTTTTCGCGTGAGGTTGGACACAGGAGAAAATTACTCTTCGCGCTTTTCTTAGCCTCTGTTTGTTCAGATTAGGTGTACCATCGAAGTTACTAAATATAACAACAACAATGTGACGTGCTGGGCTAGTTGGTTTGAGGTGAATGTTTTGGGAAGGAACAGCGGCAAAGGAACTTGGACGTGAGTAAAGAAACAAACACGACAGGACGGCGCTGAGTTAACAACTGTTGTTTATTACACAAAAGGGGGAAGGAAGTAAACAAGAAGCATCTTAATCAGAAAAAAAATATACACAGATACACACGCCAACAAAGCAGCATATTTTGTCACGATAGGCCAAATCAGTGGCTACGTAATGCCCCTCATAGTCGATTGCAGATACCCGAATTCTTCTTCAGACAACGCCATGACGGTTCGCTGACGCATTTCCCGCCAAGTTCTGATATAAAAAAAGGCCTTGATAATTTTCCTTGTCACTCTGTCTCTACGTCTATCTAAAACAGCGACTTCACTACAATTAGGCTGGCACTTGCAGTCCCCGCAGTGTTACTACCTTTGCACTGCAGGGAGTGCAAGTGCCAGCCTAATTTTAGTGAAGTCACTGTTTTAGATAGACTTAGAGACAGGGTGACAAGGGAAATTATCGAAGCCTTCTTCATCCTAGAACTTGGCGGGAAATGCGCCAGCGAACCGTCAGTGTCATCTGAAGCAGAATTTGGGTACCTGCGATCGACTATGACGGGCATACGTAGCCACTGATTTGGCCTACCGTGACAAAATGTGCTGCTTGGTTGGCGCGTGTGTGTGTGCATTTTTTCTGATTCTGTTACTTCTTGTTTTCTTCCTTCCCCCTTTTGTGTAATAAACAACAGTTGTCAGTTAAGCGCTGTCCTGTCGTGTTTGTTTCTTTACTCTTGTCCAAGTTCCTTTGCCGCTGTTTGTTCCGAGTTGTTTACTAAATATATGTGACCGCCCCAAAACGATGTTCCATTGGTCACGGGACCACACATTTAAAAGACTTAAGAGCGAAAAGTTTAACAAATATCCAGAAGATTTTCGCATGAACAGTCACAAAAGTGTTGTACAAAAGATCAAGATTATAATTAATACTGATAAAACGTTGGTAACAAGGTAGTCTACATTCTTCAGTTCTTTTGTTTTATGTTATATGTCACTCTAATAGCAAATTGAAGCCAAGTAAAGTAGCATATCTTCTCGTGAGCTCTATACTGAGAATGCATATGAAATGATAAAAAGTGTAAACTAAACGCCCAATGAAGGACCCCCCCCCCCTCCCCCCATCTTCCAAATCTGCTCCGTTCAGACTATTCGCATCAGGATAGGCTTGCTGCCCGTGGTCTGCTATTATTGCATTATATTCCCACCCTGCTGACATTGCACAAGGGCTTTTTTTTAAGTTAATTGTTTTTTTTGTTTTTTTTTTGAAAGGAAACTTTTCAGGGAGATTTAGGCACCATTTATTTTATAAGAATGACACCGTGACTTGTGACCACCGTTTTGTTTCTTCCTCTTTACCGAGAAGTTTGTTGCGAGTATGGAACGGTCGGATAACAGGAGCCGTTACGTTCCAGGTGTCGTGTATCCGGTTCTGATTGAAAGCAGAAGCGGCAACTCAAGAGGCGCTGTTCAACTTTCTAAAGACTACGTCATAGACTTGGAAGTGTCCAGTGTATTAGGGGACAGTCTGTTTTTTAGCGAGGCTGAAGATGGAGAGGTGAACCATGAATTGGTAAGGAAAGTTTACATTTCCCAAGAAGGCATGCTTCCGCCTCATGGTTTAAAATTCAACTTATTTAACTAGAAAATAAACATCCCACCTGTTCAGTCGCTAAAAAGATATTTCATCTGTCCGCTAGTGCCTTTGGAAGTATTCGTATATTTTAACCTGCCATTGAAGCAGAATTGTCACCGGTTTTAAGAAAGCATGCTTGTTTAAATGACTTGCCGACTCATGTTAATGTATTGATTCCTGGCGTGCATGCGGAAGAATTACGACAGTTGATATCATCGAGATTTGTTTTTTTTTTATTTTGTGTATGCTCACATAAAATGTGATATCTTTTTTTCTTGTTAAACACCAAACATATTTTTGTGCTATTGATGTTCTTATAATGATTACTACGTTCATAATACTTTTATTTGTAGTATATTTACCTAAGTTTCAATATGTCACAACCCTTCGCTAGTTTCAAGTGTAGTTTTAACGACCCCTCATTTCTTCTATGTGAGAGATACCGAAATAAAAACACCCACGATTTCTTTTTTTCGTTCTTTGAGAGTGTTTTACTTTCTCGATAATTTGAGGAACAATTCACTCCGATATTTGGTGTGCGTCTTGTAGAATTTCATTGATTGCAATTATTTACTGAGTTTTTATAAAATGGCACACTTTGCAAAGAATAAAAGTTCAGAATTTCAACCTTAACCATTATGTATATCACTTCGCAGTTTTTAGAGCGCAGCTCTTAGGCGCCCGTTTCCGGCTTGAGCAGCGTCGCCGTCGCGGTCGGCGTAACCACACGTTGCATTATGGGACGTTTGTCATAATGACGTCACACGTGACGTTACAAAGGTCATGAGTTACGTCACCCTCATGACGTCACACGGCGCCTAAATTTTGAGGAAAAATGTTCCGCTCATTTAGCAGGAACTTTTTAAGCTAAATGTAGCGGGAAATTTTTCTGCTGAATATAGCGGGAAAATTTTCTGTTAAATGTATAGGGAAAGTTTTCAGCTCAATTTAGGGGCAATTGTGTCCCTAAATTTTGTGGAGAAATTATTCGGTAATTTTTTCCGGTAATTTTTGCGAGAAATATTTTCCACTAAATCTAGCAATAAAAGTTTTCCGCCAAATTAAGCGGCAAAAAATTTACGTCATACGTAGCTAGAAAAGTTCCTGCGAAATTTAGCGGGGAAATTTTGCCGCTAAATTTAGTGAAACAATTCTTTTCCAAATTTAGCGGGGAAATTTTTTGCCAAATTTATTGGGCAAAGTTGCCGCTAAATTTAGCGGGTAATTTTTTTTTACTAAATTTAGCGGGGCAATTATTTAGAAAAAATGTTTCGCTAAATTTTGTGGGGAAATTTTTCCTCCAACTTTAACGGGGCAATTTTTTCGCTAAACTAAGTGGGGGAATTTATATTTCCGCCAAACTTAGCGGGGAAATTTTCCCACTAAATTTAGCGGGTGAATTTTCCGGGAAATCATCTCACAATATGACAGTCGATTCTCCTACGTACCCTCCCCTCCCCTCCGCACCCTTCCCTCCTCTTCCTCAAGAGCTGCGCTCTAATTCGGCATAACCGAGAATTGGAAACGTCTTTAATTTTTTTACCCATGGTATGTTATTTTCAGATGGATACTACAGACATACGTAACAGTGTTTATGAAAATTCGGAACACAAAGCATCATTTACAATTACCGAAACAGTTGGGGGAATTGAAATGGTATGCAATATTGTTTAAAGTATATATTCGTATAGGAACAGTAAATACGATTATATAAATATACGGGAGGTTATGCAATCATTATTTATAAATCCTCTATTTGTTAACTACCTAGTTTTTTCGCGAAAATTTTTGTAAACCTGCAGTACTTTTTTAAGTTTCGTAAAAATGAAGGTGTATTAAGCACATTGGAAGTTGACGTCGCCACAACGTCTAAAGGATGTCATTTACGAAGAACCTTAAAAATAATATTAAGAAAACTTTCTTCATAAGTTGTTTCCTTACCAATTGAATTTTTATTAAGCATACAATGTTTGTTTAGCAGATGCACAAACGGTCTCCAACGTGCAATGTTTACAATATTTATAAATTTTACACTTTTTTAACAGGAAGGATACCTAAACTTTACACATGGAATTGAGCCATTGCGAATACATGACAAATCCGGCCGAATCCCCCACAGAATATTTCCGCTCCCGACGCCTGAGCAGAAGATCCACTTTGAAAGTGAGTGACACGATCAAAAACTAAACTAGATATTTGCTGAAAATTCGACCTTTAAAGGCTAGACCTTACGAAGCGCAAATGCCTCGAGGTTTTCAACGAGCGACGAATCTCTACTTTCAGCGTTCGCTCCGCGAGCGGCGTCAGTACTTGGACGCTCTCAGTTCTTTGCCACCTATTCTCTCGTTGAATTAATTGACCTCACGTTTTTTGTCTAGCAACATATTCTGTTTAAAGCGTGGCGAAATGAGCACATTAATTGATTATCGCTGGAAAATGAAAAGGAGCAGTGTTTCCAATGTCGACGGCCCCTCGGCTTCTTAATTTTTTTTGTTTGCATCAGTTCAACGGCTCATGTATTGGTGATCTGAGTATGTAATCCCATGTTCAGAGTATTTAACCTGTGTATAATCTTAAATTGTACCGATATCTAGCACTTTCTGAGTGAAGGGAAGAGGTCAGTGGTTTGGCAATCGGAAAGAGGCTCTTGTATCCCAATACACAAGACAAAACACTTTAAGTGCGTTAAATGTTGCCGTTTTATTTTGCCTAAATAATTTAATTGGTAGCACTTAGGAGTTACGAGAAAATGTGTCTACAAATGATATTTATGACGCGGAATATAGTGAAACTTAGAGCGTTCCTTGTATTTTTACTTAATAATACTAGCCTCTTAGGTGATGCAAAAAAAAAAAAAACACTTCGTCGTCTTCTCATTCAAACAAAAAGAGTTATCTACTTTATTTCGGCATGGTTCAGTTTTGAGGTGATGGTATTTAAAAAAACACATATCCGCCCACATCGGATATTTTGAACAATTTGAGAAAATTATCTTGAAAATACCTTAACGACTGAAAACCGCAAAACGGGCCAGCAAAAGACAAAAACAAAATTGACAGCAAAACACGAACTGTTCTTCTATGATTTTGATGAAGGAGCATGCCTTCGAAAAGTTATAACCTTGACTTTGATTACTTTTTGCATTCAGTATCGCTATGATGTTTACAGTTCCCGTTGAAGAACGTTCCGATGAAAGTTTACCGCCAAAAAGTAAGTTTATTTTGTTTGTAAAACCTTCAACATTCCTCAGCAGTCCTCTCACCGAATTCTACAAACCCCAAGGCACCAGCCGCAATTCCAGTTACATGCGCAGCATACGTACTGGCCATTTTATAACTTTCATGCAATTTTATGTACGCACTTTAAACTCTATTTTTTCTGCTCTAGGTTTTTGCTTTGAAATATTTCGGTAGAAGTCAGCACGTGCTGCGCGTGTAACTGCAATTCGAGATTGCAGTTTGATGATATAATAAATTTTGAAAGTCTTAATTGGAGAGACTGTTTCATCATCTGCACAGGAAACAAGAACAGCTTATCATGGCATTGTGCATATGAAAATAAAAATTATTGCATAGTCAATTCTATAATTGCGAAGCACTGAGAACATGTCATGATTTGAAACCTTCTAGATGACACTGCAGAGCCCCCAAGCGAGTGGCGACCCGAAATGTACGTTATGTTTGACAGTGTAATACACAAGTACCTCAAGGAAAGCAAATATCTACAGACAAGATACATCATAAGGCTAATGAACATTGTGCGTATGCTTTTCCTTTCTTCGTCAGGAATAATATAGTAATGTCAGTTCTTTTTGATCAAACCAAAAGTGCTTACTGTAGCTTTCGTGCTCCGATTACTGACGCCCGTTCCAATGTCTTATTTCTCTCACGCAGGTGAATGCAATCTTCAAGACGGTTCGCAAACCCCGAATAAACCTCCAGCTTGTTGGAATATTCCGGTTTAAGGTGCGCATTCATTGCTAAACGCCCACACTTCAGTATCTTTAAACTTGAAAGTCTTGTTATATCTGTCAAGGGTGCAACACGATTACAAATCCAAAAGTTTTAGGAGAAAAAATGCGTGTCATTCGAGTGGCCTTTTCTTATTTGAAACCGTTTTGATCATACTGCGCTATGGAAAAGCGACTCTTAACCAGAGTGGAAAACCATGACGATTTATTTAAGTATAAACGATTGGATACCTATGATTTAAATCAGACTCATTTGCGTTATACCAGAATAATTTATTTTAAATGAATGTAGCTATAAAATAGTGCACTTATAATCACTAGATGTATCATTGAACATGGCAGATTGGCTAATAAGGTCGTCCAATCACTGAAAATAATGCAGATGAAATAGTTACTGTCAATTTAAAGTACAGTTTAAGTGACTTTTTTTAGTAAATTTTGACATTGTAGAACAAAACAGTTTAAAATTGTTTGGTTCCGATCTGCTCAGACAACTGTTTTATGCCTGTGTTCAGCGTGATATTGTCACGGGTGGTGACCAATAAACAAGAAATAAGCAGGAAGAAATAAACGTTTAATGTGGAGAACTTATGCCAAAAATAAAAGGGGTACAAAAGATAAGAACAGCGTCGCTGGCGTCGAAGTCGGCGTAGCAGCAGAGTCGAACCCTGGGGCGAAAACTGAATCAGGATTGTCAAGCGGGCCCCTTACGTACACGCGTTGGTTTCTGGAACAGTCGGCCTAGAAGGTTCGGTGACGAGAACATTCGCACCTCGAACAAGCAACGGGATATTCTCGAATCTACTAGAACACTAAATTGCAAGGATAAACAGAAGACGCGTCGCTCCCAGGAATCAAACCCGTGCACTTCGCGTGGGAGGCAGGCACGATAACCGTGTCGCTCCCAGGATCGCCCCCATGCACCACAACACAAACAACAAACAAAACAAAAAAATTAATAAACATAACGGCAAACTAAGGAGTCATTTGGAACGCATAAGCTCCACAGTCCTATCGAGCGTAGTACGGCTTCAGGCGCACGACGTGGACAACTTCAGGGCGTGGTGGGCGGCGTGATGTTCTTGTCCCATCGGGCATCACCTCGTACTTCAGCTCCCCGAGACGACGAAGTACCTTGTATGGTCCAAAGTACTGTTTCACCAGTTTCTCACTGAGGCCGCGGTGACGGATGGGCGTCCTAACCCACACCCTGTCTCCGGGCTGGAAGTTGACGTCCCTGCGACGAAGGTTGTAGCGGCCGGCGTCAACGCGTTGCTGGGCGTCGCGCTCTCATTGTCAGCTGGCTCATGGGGCAGCATCGCGTCCAGCATGGTCGTTACCTTCCGACCATGTACCAGCTGGAAAGGTGTGAACCCAGTGGTCTCTTGAACCGCCGTATTGTAGGCGAACGTGACGTAGGGCAACACCTCGTCCCACGTCTTGTGCTCTACGTCGGCGTACATAGAGATCATGTCGGCGATAGTCTTGTTGAGTCGCTCCGTCAGCCCGTTGGTCTGCGGGTGGCGTGCAGTGGTACGATGATGACTGGTGTGACTGAGCCGGAGAATTTCTTGGATCAGCTGTGCCATGAACGATGATCCGCGATCTGTAATCAGAACTTCGGGAGCGCCGTGCCGGAGGACAATGGACTTGAGGAAAAACGTGGTGACTTCAACCGCAGTCCCCGAAGGAAAGGCTTTCGTTCCTGCGTACCGCGTGAGGTAATCTGTGGCGAAGATTATCCAACGGTTTCCCAGGGTCGACGGCGGAAAAAGACAAAGTAGATCCATTCCGATCTGCTGGAACAGTGCAGTTGGCGGAGGAAGTGGCTGCAGGAGACCTGCCGGCTTCGTCGGCGGTTTCTTGCGTCGCTGACACTTGTGGCAGGATCGGGTGTAGAGGTGGACGGTTTTGGAGAGCTTGGGCCAGTAATACTTTTCACGAATACGGGCCAATGTCCAGCTGTATCCAAGGTGTCCGGACGCCGGGTCGTCGTGACATCCTTGAAAGATCTCCTCTCGAAGGTCGGTCGGAATTACCAGCAGCCACGGCGAGTTGTTCTACCCGAAGTTCTCTTTGTAGAGTACACCTCGTCGAATGGCGAATGGTTGCAGGGCTCGTGAGAAAACACGGGGCACGGTACTCACGCGCCCTTCCAGGTGCTCGATTAAGGCGCGCAGCTCCGGATCGCCTCGTTGACGTCGTGCCATGTCATCCGTGTTCACTGCCCCTAGGAAGCACTCGTCGTCATCGTCGTCACTGCTGCCGGAAGGTGTTTCGACAGGGGCCCTGGACAGGCAGTCAGCGTCGCTGTGCTTGCGTCCTGACTTGTAAACCACAGTCATGTTGAACTCTTGTAACCGGAGGCTGCATCGAGTGAGTCGTCCTGACGGGTCCTTGAGGTTCGCAAGCCAGCAGAGCGAGTGGTGTTCCGTGACTACGCGGAACGGCCTTCCGTACAAGTACGGACGAAACTTGGTGATTGCCCAAACGACCGCAAGGCATTCTTTCTCATTCAGTCGTGGAGTAATTTCTCTCTGCCTTGGACAGTGTCCGACTTGCGTAGGCGATGACTCGCTCGGTGCCTTCTTGTACTTGAACTAGTACCGCGCCAAGTCCTGCGTTACTTGCGTCAGTGCGAATTTCGGTGTCCGCATCCTGATCGAAATGTCCAAGACCCGGAGGCGTCTGGAGTCGTCGCTTCAGCTCGTCGAATGCCTGCTGTTCCTCGGCCCATTCGAACCTCTCGGCGTCCTTCGTGAAGCTTGTGAGTGGTGCGGAAAACCTTGCGAAATACCGAACAAAGCGACGATAGTAGGCACAAAGTCCAAGGAATCTTCGCACGGCCTTCTTGTCTGTCGGCGCTGGAAATGACGTGACGGCGAGAGTCTTCTCTGGGCGAACGCCTTCGTTACTAACCACGTGACTTAAAAACTTCAGTTCGTCATGGGCGAACTGACACTTTGACGGCTTGAGGGTGAGTCCGGCGGTCCGTGTGGCTTGAAGAACAGCTCGGAGTCGTCGCAAGTGCTCGTCGAAGTCGCTGGAAAACACTACGACGTCATCGAGGTAGACGAGACAGCTCTGCCACTTCAGTCCTGCCAGTACGGTGTCCATGACACGCTAGAAAGTTGCTGGCGCCGTGCATAGTCCGAAGGGCATCACCGTGAACTCGTACAGCCCATCCGGCGTTACGAAAGCTGTCTTCTCTCGGTCCCGTTCGTCGACTTTGATCTGCCAGTAGCCGCTCTTCAGGTCCATCGATGAGAAGTATCGAGAGTGGCGCAGCCGGTCTTAAGTGTCGTCGATGCGGGGGAGTTGGTAGACGTCTTTCTTCGTCACCGCGTCCAGCTGCCTGCAGTCCGCGCAGAACCTAAGCGTTCCGTCCTTCTTCTTAACCAGTACGACTGGAGAAGCCCAAGGACTGCTTGAGGACTGGATTATGTCGTCGTTCAGCATCTCTTGGACTTGCTCCTGGATCACCTCCCTTTCTTTGACAGAGACTCTGTACGGCATCAGGGTGGCCAGTTCCGCTTATTATAAGCGGATTTGGGCTTCTTTTTTCACTGAGTCGCTGGTAGATCTTCCCAGTCGCTTGTCGCGCTTTTTGGGCTTATTCGCGTTTTCCCCGCAAATATTATTTTATTGCTCGTCATGCTCATTCACAGCGCGTTTGTCGCCAAAAACACGAAAAACATCCTGACCGTTTGGCGCCGCGGTTGGTTGGCGCAAGCTACCGTCTGTCACAAAGTACAAAACAATTACTATCCATTTACAATGTTTTGGCGTCTTGCCCATCTTGCCAGTCGGCAGTCGCGGTCGTCGTGCCTAATTGCCATTGTATTTTGCGCAAAATGGCTTCGAAGTGGTCGAAGTATGGCAAAATATATTGTAAGAAGTGAGAAAAGGAAACACAGCTTAAGGACTGACTGCGACCAGTCACCAGAGACGATAAAAAAGCAGCGTGCAAGTGCGAGATCTGCGCTCATCATGCCGACCTCATTTAGCACATGGCAGCAGAAAAACACGTGAGGAGCTCTCGGCCACTTTCCAGTGCACGTTTGACTACTATGGGCTTCACCAAGTCGTCGCCTCGAAGAACTATACCAGAACTCGAGCTCAACCTGGCATGTTACTCAGACCCCGTAATCGCAAGTAATAAGCTTGTGCTTCTCGAAAAAATACGCGGACAGCGAGGTATACACGACGTTTTGGGCGGACGCCCTTCCGCCGGATAGTGGCATGGCACTCTGACTTCGTATTTGAGCAAGTTCGCTTTCGTACTTGAGCAAGTTCTCTTTCTTATTTTATTATTACGAAACTATTTTCAAGAATGTGTACATTTTCTTAACTTTCGCTTGTTTTGGGCTTCTTCACAAAGGTCACGCCGCTTTTTCTGGGCTTGGTCGGATACAACTATTTGCTTATTCGCTCGGCCGCATCTGGCCACTTTGACGGCGATCGATGCACAGGGCGCGCGTCGTCCTCGGTAACGATGCGGCGCTTCGCAACAGCGGTTTGGCGCACCTTCGACGACGACGCAAAGCAGTCGCGGTATTCGGCGAGGAGCTTAATCAGCTGACATAGTTTTGGGCCCGGGAGATTAGGGTCAATGTCGAGCTGCGCTGGTGTGTGTGTGGCGAGGATTCGTCAGTAATGGCGGCGATTTCGGCGCCATTACTGACGCCACACACCACGGCGCAAGTTTCGGAGTCCCTCGACGTGGCCAACGGCTGCACCTTTCGTGAGGTGTTGCGCTTCGTTTCGGAAGTTCGTCATGAGGACCACAGTGCGGCCATCCTGAAGTCCAGCTACCCCTCTTGCGACGCCTATTCCTCTTCCTAGAAGCAACTGGAAGTTGCCTTCTAGGACAACTTCGCCGCAGGTAGCTGTATCGGTCACGACGGGTACGAGAACACTTGATCGCGGCGGCAGGTTCACGTGGTCGGCAGCGACTCGGACGGCGGCTGATGCTGTTTGGGGTTCCTCTGAAGG